TCAGTTTTTGAAATATCCGAATGAAATTTAATGCATAGGTGCATTTGAGATTCTATTTATCATTTGTCGGTATCGGCCAGATGGGACAACTATATCACATATCTTCCGAACTATTCAGTTATTTTACTTACCGGCTACCTGCCTTTAATTAAAAAGCTAAGAGCTTGTAATTTTGCAGAACTGTTCTCTAATAATCCATGTATTCAATACAGTGCATCAAAGTTCATTTATGTAATTATTATTTCAGTTTTGCTCCTCAATGTATACTAAATATTGACTGTGAAAAAAAAAAAACGGACAACTATGTATAACATAGATATGTAATATAGTTGTCCGATCTGGCCGATTTCGACAAATGATCCATAGAAATTTTGTTAATCTTGAAAAACAAAACTTCGTTAATAAATCGCCTGCTCGAAAAGGTTTTTAAACCCAAATTCTCTTAGGCAAAAATATTCAGAATGATCCATAGAACAATTCCCGCATACGCGATTTTTTAGAGAAAAAAAAACGACCCGCTCTGATGTACATATGTTAGCAGGTATGCGTGTGCATTTGACAAATGTATATTTTTTTGCGTATCTGCTAAAGCTGTAGCTTCACTGCTGCTGCTTAGCTATATACTCGTAGATATGTACATATAAAATTAATGAGCAAAAGGCATTATGAAAATTTGCTGTCCGAATAATTTTAGCTGATAGTGTTTTATAAATGCATTCGTATTTATCTTGATTATTAATAATGATATTGCAAACTATGCTTTTAAGTTATAAAGCAACATTTTTAAATTGATAGATGACAGCTCAAATGCTGCATAATAGTAAGTTTGCAATTATAATTAATCTATCTAACATACAGAATTTTTTAATATTTTATTTATATTTAAATAGGGTCCGATTTCATTGCTAGTAGCAGATATTAGCTGCAATATTGCACTCGAAAAGCCAAATCGCCATACATATATCAACCTATATGTGAGTTATATTATTTATACTGAGTGAGCGTGTTCTTTACCTAACGATGCATCTCTGGTGGCTGGATAAAAGCGAGTGAAAACCTGCCTCAGCTCTCATATACCTGTTATTACTATTTTCAAACATCGGGTTGACCTTACTCCTTATGGTTGATGGTATGTGAGGATCTTAATGAAACTCAGAAAGCATCTGTTTCTGTTAATAACATGTGTTAATGCCAAAAATATATCAAATCGAGTTAATACTACACCTATTTTCCATATACCTTATAAAAGATTTTCAAACTTTCAGTTGGTCTTATACCGTATATATCGGTCAATCTGTAAAATATCTTAACAAAATTAACTGAACTAATATTGGATTTACTTTAATTTAAAGCCAAAAATATTTGAAATTATACAATATTATATTACACATAATAATTTCCGTTGTTCTAGCAAACCTTATTATATTAATGGTTTAGCGGTTGGTCTAGACCTTGTTCTTAATCCCATATCCCTAATATCATCAACTCAATTTAATAAATTTAGCCTCTTCGGTTAATAAGATACATATATGATTATATCAGTCGAACAATGAATGCTGAATTCTTTCGAAATTTTTTTACTAAGAGATTTTACCAACACCTGAGAGTATTTCCCCGACTTTGATCTTTGCAAGTTGCAAGAGTATGAAATGTTCGGATACACCCGAACTTAGATCTTCCTTACTTGTTATATGTTATATATATATATACTTTATACTGTTTTCTACTTACTTCGAAAGATTGTACGCAGTACTAGTACTTGTATGTGTCATTTTAATTATATAGATCGTGTGTGCTTTATTGACCAATCCTTGAATATATATATATATATATCGAAGTAAGTAAAGTATTAAATTTTAATAAATATTTTTAACCTATTACTTGCGAATCAAAAAAATTTAAGATCTTACAAGTAAAGGTATCGGAGATTAACAACGTCAAAATGTATATAATCAACATTAAAATGTACTTGTGGTCTACATTTGGGCGCATTTTATATATAAGAATAATTTCTCTATTTAGCATATTCCCCGACCAAACTATACCAGAGCGACATATTGGTGTAAATAGGTATATTTTGATTATCACCGCAAATTTTTTATATGCTCATATGTCACAAAAGTTTGTTTTACCTCTTTTCAATCATAACTAAAACTATTAAAATTTTATTGAATTGTATTAAAACTGTTTATTTTCTTTAATTTAGTTTTTTAATTTTTTTTCTTCTCCTTTATTTTATTTTATTTTACTTTATTTAATTTAATTTTTTTTTTTAATTTTTTTATTTTATTGTAATTTATTTTACTTAATTTAATTTAATTTATTTTTAATTTTTTTATTTTACTCATGCTTTTAAGTTAACTAACTTTCGCTTTATTAAAATATTCATCTAAATAGCAAGGTCAGACGAGTAAAATCAAGTATATTTTACCAAACATTAAAAGGCAATAAAAGATTTTATCAAAGCAATCAATAAAACCGCTTACATTTTTAATAATGGAAATATATAAATATAAACCGGCATTAATATTCTAGCATGTAAATAATAATCAGCACTCCCTTACCTCTAACAATTCAATGACTAGTTTAGTCTACACTTCTAAACCGGTGTTTTCGAGCCTACTACTTTAAATTGACAATAGCTGATGCGAAAAGCGTGATAGCAAAAGAGCACTTCAAACAACAACAAAACTAAATTAAACGACAACAATCACTAAGCATTAGCTATGCAAATATATACCATATATATATATATTTTTTTTTTTTAATTTTTTGATTTCTGCTAATATGGTGCTATGCTTTTTTTAAATTTTTTTTTCTTTTATGTTTGTTGTTTCTTTTTCTATTTTTGTAATCAAAAATCTGGCCAAGTGCTCCACACGCAGTTAATTTATCGCAGCATAAAACTGACGCCTAAATTTATTGCATTTCAATTGTTGCCCATCTTCTGCTTCGGTCCACTTTATATTTATGTGCTTACATTTATTTTATTGAAAACAGAAAACAATCTAGAACTGCGAGCTGAACCAGTTGACGAACTTATAAATAAGTGGTCGGCCAACGTCAATATGAAGTGTGGCACAAATGATGGCTTGACGAATGAAAAAGCATTTATTTTGTTTCCACTTATGCTGCCTCAGTGGACTTCTCATTTGCGGAGATATAAATCTTTCACTGGAAATATTCACTTCAAAGGAAGTAGTTTGCTTATTAAGAAAATTTCAATAACAATCTTAATATGTATTTTAATTATGAGGGTCGCTAAAGTGCCTCAACAGCTGGCAACTTTAATTTGTGATCTGATAACGTTTTATTACATTTTTTTTACATGAGCGCGTTGAAAAATTTTACAACTGACAACAAAATTAGATCTACTGTTATTTGTAGTATTTAAATTTTGTTTATACACAATAGTGCAACAATCAATTTGCTTCGAGTTTTAGTGATTCAAACTCAAATTTTAATATTTCACTGGATTTAAGAAATACAGAGTGATTTCACTTGGTGATCTCCAGCAAGATGCATATTCTATAAAAATATTTTAAAGTTAAAGGCAATAGCCTAGTTGTTTTATAGAATGAAAGCGTGTTCTCAAACATTTCATTGAACAGATCATTTTTTTTTTGGGCTCCAAATCTATAAAATATTTCATGATTCTGCGCTTCCTACTCGTAATGTTCCAATAACAAAGACAAATCTACGAATTGGACAAATGGTTCGTAGGGCGAAAAAAACTGTTATAATATAACCCAATTTTATATAGTCCTACTTTATTGTGAAGAACTTTTACCTAATCGGCGATTCATTTTCAAAAATTTGTATATTCGTTGGTGGAAAAAAGGTGCCAGGGGGTGAGGAAGACTCCAAAAACCAACCAAATATGTAATTACTATAGATAATGATTAAAGAACCTGTAAAATTTTAACTCTTGACACAATGCGGGTGCCCAAAGAGTTGTTTTATATTACATTTCAGAGTGGCTTAAAAAATTCAAAGTATTATCAAATATCTTATTTCATCGATTATTACCTGACAAATATATTTAGGGAGGTCGAATATCAAGTCGATCGCTTGAATCGTTTTGGAGAAATTTTCCTCACCGATTCTGAAAACAACGATTCGAGAAAAATTAGGCGGTTCAACTTCAGATTTTGGGAGAATATTCCCAAATGTATGTAAATTCGTTATATGAACAACACAATATTCGATTTATTGAAATTTACAAGTAGATATAACGCTTTAAACAAAAGGGAGATTTGTAGTTGCATTTATTTGTAATTGTTAAGAAAGACCATAAAACAAGTCACTCTGTTATTAGTGGTTTTAAGTTGAGCAATTATTGACTCAGACCTAAAAGAAAAAAAAAATCAGAAACCGTTTGTTTTCAAACTGTCGTTATTGTGTGTTCCCCATACTACACATCAAATGCGCGACAAGAAACAAAAAAGGAATCAATTTTCATGAAAAACTTTATTTTATAAGAATATAATGTGTTTAAAAAATTAATTTTGTTTTTGAAAGAATGTTTAGAGTATTATTTTAAAAATTAGAATTTTAAATTATAAAAAATTTATAAAATTAATTTAATTAAATGAATACAAAATAAAATGAAATTAACTATATTTTAACACAAATTTTTTTATAAGACTCTACTTATCAGGGTTGAAATTTTTTAATTGAAAAATTGTATATTAAAAATTATACTTTCAATGTTTAGTTCGGATTTTTGTATAAAAATTTATTTTTTTTATTTTTCAATCCGGTATTTGGGATTAGAAAATTGAAAATTATTTTTAATTAACATATGCGGGATTCGAATATAAATGAAAAGTTAATCTCAAGGTTAATACAAGTATGTTTTTAGCGCATTATTTCGAAACCAGATCACCCGAAAAATCTATTATTCGCTTTTGCGTGTTAAAATTTATTACAATTAAACGTATATGTGTATGTATATAGTATAACTTTACAAAGCATTTGTAGCATATAAATTTACTCACCCATATATTCTTATAAGTATGGATTGGCGCGTCGAAAAAAGTTGCCAAATATGTCAATGAGGAAATACAATTTCCTTTGTTATTATAATTAAAGCACTATAGAACAATAGTTTAGTTTTTAAGTAGCAAACACGTATTAAACGGTATATAAATATTTAATGAAATATTTTAGTATTCGTTCCAAGAAAATCTAAATAAAGTTGGGTCGATTTACATAACGGGAAGTTTAACAAGCTTCTTTTAAAATTTTTTTTTAACTTTGATTTTTTTAATTTTTGTAATTTATACTGTTTTATTCGTTGAATGTTTTCAAACTCATTGGTTTTTTTTTTAATATTTAAAACTTTTTTTATTTTTAATTTTTTTCCGAGAATAATATTGTATATTTATTTAATACATTTTTAATTTTTTTTTATTTAAACAAATATTGAGCTTTTCAAATACTCTAGGTGCTTATGTATATAACTACATTTATTTATTTAAGTAAGTACACTTAAATTTTAGAGACAGTATTTATTTTCTGCTTATTTTGGACTAACTATAAAGTTATATATTACTACTTTTAGCGCTACTTCAATTAAGCATTTACTTATGCATCTACAAAAAATGTATGAATGTTTTTTCTACAAACTTAGCAGAGTTTAAGAAACTATACACCGTGGCCTATTTAAATTATGCTTTGTCACTAAGCAAAATTCTACGAGATTCAAGTGAAATTCTGTACAAAATTTCAAAATTTCTCTTTATTAATTATTCGAGGCACGTCTTCAAATATGCACGACAATTAAATCCTTTCTCGCTTCTAAACAAACAACGCAACTAATCCGCTATGATTTTCCGCACACTTTCACTCATTCGTGCATCACAACGCATTTTCACACGCCGCCGTCTGTTGGCATTCCATTAAATTTTCAATCCATTGCACCAATTCACCATCGATATCCACTTTCACATTATTATGCGCCCTACTTAAAAGCATAAGCTCACACGCACACATGCACGCGACGCGTTTGTTTATTCGTTAATTCGTCCAGCCCGTTGTCGTCGTCGTGTTGTTATCAAAACGGTCGTGGTCGTTGCGCGTATTGAAGTCGCGAGGGAAATTAGCAATTTTTCGACTTTTCCGCAATGGACGTTCGCACTGCAGCAAGTCACAAATTCAACTGAAGCACTTTCTTTGCGGCACTTTCGCTTGTAGGTGCCTGCTTCAGCTGTACACCGCACGCACAAACATGCCCACACATGCACACAGCGCTACAAACACGCGCCACGAAGGCCGGAAAATTGCGAGTCAGTTTATCGGTAGCAGGCTCGTGTTATCGCCAATTGCAATTTACTTATTTTGTATTTTGTTTTGTTTGCTTTTGCATTTTCATTTTGAATTTGCGAATTGTTTTCATTTGCTGTGTGCTTTTGCATTGCACTTTGCTTTTCACTTGCCTTTGTCTTTGCCACTCATGGTGTCCAATTTGACGTTCCACAGCAACAACTTATCTGAAAAATGTTAATCTGTCACTGATAAGAGTTATGTGGAGAAACAAATTTTAGGTTTAAGGTATAACATATAAAATTCAGCATTCAACTCAACACCTAATAATAAAGACCTACTTTCCATCTCATCTAAGCGAAATCAAATTTAAAACCTTGTAGGTGTGTAAATAAATTCAAGACAACTGCAAAGATTTACTATAAAATGCGGTACCGAAAATCTGCGGTAGAATTAATCGTAAAGCTGGAGATTTTCAAATTCAATATACGGATCTAGAAATAATTGTGATAAGTTTCAATTTCTTAATAATAGTTACCCTTTAAAATAGATAATATAATATATATCGTAAGTTCGGCTTCAAAAACTATTCATTGACTTTTGAGCTATATCTCTTAATCTTAATGGAGGAATGTGTATTTGAAATGGCTTTATATGGGAAGGTGCTTTAATTGGAAACCTCCTGAGGTTAAGCGCAGAATGTAAACTCTCTTAATAGAGAAATTACTTCAACTCAGCTGCCTGCCAACATTATGATCCAAGAAATACAACAGATAGAGCAAGGAATTGAGTATTTTTACTAAAAGAGATGTGTTAAGAAGATCAAGTTTGAAACCTAATGTGTGAAGTGAGAGAGATTCAGATAGAGCAAGGGATTGAGTAGTTTTACTAAGAGAGATGTGTTAAGAAGATCAAGTTTGAAACCTAATGTATGAAGTAAGAGAGATTCAGTCCCCGATTATTGACGCTCATAGCAGTAAAAAAACGCAATAGAAAGTAAAGTGAGAGTCGTCAATACTTCGCCAATTTCTTTCAAAACGTTGACAAAAGGTTATTATGTCTCGATTTTAGTTTTCGCGAGTTAATGGAACTCATCTTCACTACTGATACAAAATACTGTTTATAGTGAATGTTTTAGAAGCCCAAAAAGAAGGCTTCACAGTCGAAACTCGTATTTCTCGCAGAGCAATCTTCATTAACCCAATGTTAACAAACTGTCGAAAACATCCCGTTAGAACAATTGGTAAGACCAGAAATGCCGCACCATAAACAAAAAAAAATTGAGTGATAGTGTATGTGAGTGAAAAACTAGGCTTTCTAACTGAAAAGGTCTACAACTCCAACCAGGTTTCAAGTGATAACAGAGATTTTAAGAAGAAGTAAATTCATGTCAGTAAATCGAAGCTTAATCTGAACACTTGTTGGACTTGGAGGCTTTGCTATTTTATAAAGTTTTTACGCGGCTATCTTCTTTTCGGCTGCAACCAAATAACTAATGGATCTGCAATATATCAGCCACTATCAAACATGCTGGCCCTTTAAATAATTCATGGTAATCACTTTCATTCACTTTCTAATAACTTCCACAAAATGTTAAACACAACTCTCTTACAAAGGCAATGTCGCTCTTAATTACATCTGTTAACTGCGCATGTCCTCTCTTTGAACATGAATGTTGTTGTGCCTTTTGGGTGAAAAAGCAAAGCGTTGTTTTTTTTTTACTTTAACTTTCTTTACGCTCAGCTGATGCTTGCATTATTCTCTTTGCTCTTCGTCCTTTGTCAGCATGCTGAAGCTTGCCGGCAATTTGTAGGGCTCGGGTCCATATCCCTTTTGTTATGCTTGGTCAGTACTAATACTAAGGCATATATCTTCATACATTTGTATTTGCAAACACACACTCAAGTTTATCTATATAAAATTTCTTCTTTCTTGTTTTCGTTTTATTCTCATAGTGTTGCATTGTTTGCGTAGAATTTCGTTTGTGGCGTTCGCTCGTGCAGCACAGCAAAGATCTCAGTTTTTGTGACTGTTTTTGTTAATGTATATGTGTTTGTATGTATAATTTTTACAAAAGCAAAGTCTGCTCAACTGGTGGCAAGATGTTGCTGCTCGCTTTGTTTGCTTTTGTTTGAGGATACTTTTGCGATGTTGTTGCTTTAAATGTATATATTTATATGTCTGCTCGAATATGTTTATATGTATGTATTTCTTTGCATTCGCTCTCTAATATAGCTTCCACCGCAGTTTTATGAATGAAATCGTTCGACACCCAGACCCACGATACAATTAAGCTAAATTTTGCTCTTGTTAAGTACAATAACAGTTGAGTTATTTTTCGTTTTTGTTTTTTTTTTTGCTTCTTCCTTTGCCTCCTTATTTTATTGAATTTTTTTACATTGCATTAATTATTTTACTGATTAAGTTTGGAAGTATGTAACTACTTATTTGTTGCTATGTTTGTTCAATAAAAAATCGTAGCTAACGCGGCTGGTTGAACACCTACTTAACTAACTTATCAAAAATTTTGGGTAAATATTTTATATTCGTACAATAACGAATACAAAGTCCACTGTAGATTATGGTATGTTGAATGCGGTCACTTCAGTGGACTAATCTTTATGTGCGTTTATGTTCTCATCAAATTGGAATCGAACTGTCTGAAATCCAGTTATAAAAAAAACTTGCCTCAAGCGAGTCGTCCATCAACCTCTGTTACTGACGATAATATCGAAAAAGTTAAAAAAGTTGAAAATCATCATGTAGGCATCCGAGAGATAGCAAAGGGTCTCAACCACTCTTATGAATCGACTCAATACATTCTGGTTAATGTTTTGGTTATGAAGTGTGTCAATACCTACTACATGTAGACTCATATCAAAAAGTTCTGAATCTTTTGCAAAACCAACGTCGTATATTCATAGTTGGCGAAAGGAATGCTTGACAACGTAGCTGAGGATCCTAAATTGATCAAATGCATCATTACAAGTGAAATGGGTTTATGAATATGACGCCGAAACTATCCAATAATCTAGCGAATGGCGCTCCAAAAATGGCCAAAACCGGCAAACTTAAAATTGGAGCAAAACTTGGTATACTTGTATTAGCTCAGGAGTCTATTTTGAAGGCGGTAATAAAGATTTGTATTAAAGTACGTAAAATGGATTTGTTGTTGTCAGTCTGGGTGGAATTTGATCAAATGGTAGTATTTAAATATATTTGGATTTTATGAACCCAATCGATCTCTGGCTAGATAATTTAGTTCCAGAAACCTTCTAAATATGAAGATTAAGGGCTAAGGGCCACAAATTTGGTTACTTTATTTAGTGAACAACTTTTTCGCGACATCCGCTGGGCGTTAACTTCTTAAAAACTAACCAAATTTGTAACAAGTCTAGTGGCATTCGTTTAGTCAGTTTGTCATTTCTACATTTTCTAACTCAATTCAATACAGTTCCTTGACGTTTTGAGTATGACAATACCTTGTTACTGCCGGACAAACTGACTAAACGAATGCATATCTGATTAGGCACGGACTGCTAACGAAACTTCAGGACAACTTAAAATTGAACAAGAGCCAAAGACAAGAACACTCTCTTTCTATTACATCTATTTTAAATTTTATAAAAATATTAATATAAATCCGCTTTATATACTACGAAAAAAATTGACCACCATCCATTACAACAACAATACAAAGAAAGTATGATAGAATGTAACTGAAAAGTAAACGATGTTCTTTTCAATAAATAAGAATTAAAATTATTTGTTTAAAAACTGTTTTATTCGAGATTTCAGGTACATGTATTCCAAAATGGATTACTTGACTTAAACGCGGTGTCTATAGACGACACGGCGAACTGTCTTGTAGTGGTAACCATCAGCTTCGAGGGAAGCAGATGGTTCTGGGACTGGTTCTGCTGCTGGTGGAATGTAAGTTTCTTCTGGGGCTGCTGGTGCAGGAGCAATTGGATCCGATCTTACATCCAATTGGATCGGTGCGGCCGGAGCTACAGGTGCCGGCGATGCTGGGGGAATGTAAGTGTCTTGCGGTGCTACTGGAGCAGGAGCTACGGGTGCCGGAGCTACAGGGGCCGGAGCTACAGGTGCCGGAGCTACAGGTGCGGGAGCAATGGGTGCCGGAGCTACAGGTGGTGGTACGTAAGTTTTTTGTGGTGCTAGCGGTTCCGACTTGACCTCCTCATGCAAGGGAGCTGGATAATCATAGCCACTTTGTAAGTGGGAGACATCAGCCGCGGCGCAGGCCAACAAGGCGAAGAAAATGGCGACGAAGAATTTCTGAAGGATGAAGAAAAAGTGATTTTAGTGTTCTATTTTTCTCTCAATTTATTTTTTATTCTTATGTTCTAGCATCTATTACCATTTTGGTGATTGTTGAACTGCTTGCGTAATGTTGTTTGCGTCACTGTAGCCCGATTTTATTTACGCCACTTCAACCACTTAATCGCATATTTATATGAATTGTAAGAATGACCCGAAATGGTGAAGAGTCACCAAAAAGTTGTAATGGTGCTGGCCTCGATCGTTGTTTGAGTTCGTAGATTGGCAGCAATTAACTTGCTACGTTTTACGCGTACATCTGTGACTACCGGTAAGCGGCCAACAATAAACACAAACAAAATTGAAAATTTTAAGCAGTAAACTGACAAGTGATAAATCTTGTATAGGCATTCAAGTTGGAAGTATTATGGCAGAAACACATTTTCAGCACATGAAGCTTAATTTGTGTGCATAATTTCTTATTCATTGCCATTGATACCTTCAAAATTTATAATTTAAATAAATAATAAATATTTATGAATCATTCTATTTTTATACTTTTTCCATATGTTGCTACAGAGTAGAATCGTTTTGTTCACCTAACGGTTCTTTGTTACAACTTCTGTTAAAAACTACTAAAACCTCGATAAATCAATAAATAAATACGCCAGAGACATTAAACTTTACACCTAGGATGCTGCTACAAGAAGATTTTAAAGTAGCCGTGGTCAAAATTGGACAATAGGCGTGGCCAAATTTGGTATATAATATTATCTGTTATTCTTCCTATGTTTTAGTGTAGAAATGGGTAAAATCGGACTACAAATACACCTAGTTCCCATATAACACAATTTTAAATTTTATCCGATTCTTTTACTTTCCAATATACAAATAAAGTACCAATTTATGTGTCGGGATAAAACTTTGCATGAATAGTGCCCGGTACCCAGTACACGAAGTTAAAAAAAGGTTGTAACATTCTGGAAAAAAAATTTCGGATTGCTCGCGCAGTTTAAATACTCCAACTCCGTAAAATTTTGATCAGATGGTATTTATATATTGATTAAACTTAGTTTATACTAAACGCTAGAGTTTTCATAAAAAAGTATCGATATGATACCTCAGAGTTCTAAGGAAGTCGGAATTTTAAACATATTAGCTTGGAATTGTTTATTTAGCCAATTAATTTTAAGGGAAATACTTTGAAAGTCTATGGTGCACCACTATTTATTCATCCTAGCCGAGTCTCTCCCCGTATTTGTAGTGAAAGCCTTGATATTATACAATTTCATACACTGGAACGTTTGCCGCTACCAGTTCCAGTATGACCATTTTTAAGGAACATTTATTTTATATAGCTCCAAATCTGCTACATAGTATAACTCGGCACTTCGCTCTTAGCCGCTGTCAACATTTGCTTTCAACTTTATCGTACTTAATTACGACCATACAAATACACTAAGCAAGTAACATAGTGTAGAAAATAATTTAGCAAAATTCTTGTCCTTTTTTATACTCTCTGGCAATGACTAACATCACATATATAATATATATACGTCATGGTAGCTCATAAATTGTACCAAATCATGAAGCTCTGTAAATATGTACGACGATAGCAGTGATGTTGGTATCAGCAATAGTGGGATAAACACCGTCTGTAAAAGGATTTAGTTTATTTTGTTGAGAAATATAATAGTGTCTGACGCTTTTTATTAGCTCTCCAAAAATAGTTGCGATTTTAAATTTAATACTTAAACCTATAAGCTCTTTTTTGAGACCACTAAGGGCGGGAGATAATGAAAGATAAGAATATGGTACAACTGTTGGTGAAAAGTGTGAAGAAAAAGCCCATGCTTTGCTTATATATTATACATATTGGTATTTAATACATGTTTGAGATATAAGGTCTAGTATATAGAAATATCTTTTTTCCACACGGAAATCCAGTGTAAACGATGGCTAAGCCCGGATTGACGGTTAGAAAGGTTTACTATGCGTTTGGTGGAATTTGCAGGGAATCGTCCAGAATAAGTTGCGCTCCTAAGGCCAAACTTTTATTTTGAAACTGTACTGTCAACAATTAGACGGCCTGAAGAAAGCAATCGTCCAGAAGTGGCCAGCAATGGTCAATATGAGATGCATTTGTTTCGTTCCGGGCTCTTGGTTGGGAATTTCTTATACTTACATCTACCTTAAAGTCTGAACAACCAAGCACAACTATTCCTGTCTATGACGAATGACTTTGCTGGTGTTTATTTAGGCTCTAGAGAAGCTTGCGAAAATCGACTCTCCCGAACCGACGGTGCATAATTGACCGTAATCGAGACATTCTAACTATGCAAAATAAAATCTTAAATTTATTGGATTTTTTTTTACATGACCTTTTTAAACCTCTCAAGACTTCAAGGTAGTGTCGACGGCATGCAAACCTGAGAGCCTTCAACTTAACCAAGGGCAGCGGGGGTAACTGGACAGTAGGTTAAGAGTACATGTTGTCATATTCTTATTCAAAACGACTTCAAACGATTTTATATCAGCAGCATATCTACAACAATAGAGTTGTAAAAGGACTACCTACGATCTGCATATGTTCATGCCAACATTAATATAAAAATTTTACAAAAGTAACATGAAAATATATTAAAACAATCGCAAATAATTACAAGTAATTAAATTTTTATTTAGTTATTTATTTGAAAATTGCCAAATAAAATTTTAATTTCGTCGAGAATAAAGCTGATATGTACCATTTACCCTCTCTCGGGACATTTAAGTAATATTAATAAAACAGAAAAGAGATTAAAAAGCAAAAACAGAAAGCATATCAAATCACAAAGCACTCAAAGAAAAATATGCTTCATGCGCCACGCTTAACTGCATAGACATGCACACACACATACAAATGAACACATATGTCTATAGTGGATCAGCATGCCTATTTCATGTTCGTAAAAGGCTATGTGTGGCCGGCATGTATATACAACAATATATGTGCTATCTGTCGCTTTTCAATATGAGCATGTGTGTGTATATGTTTGTATGTGTTTAGCAACGTCTTTGTGCACGCATTTGTCATAATCTCATCACCGCACTATCACTCAAATCCTATTAAGACACATGAAGAGAGCTCTTGGAAAAAAACACAGTACCATAGAGAATTGTACACCAAACAGACGAAGGCGTTTACAATCCGAAGGGAATGCATCTTAAGATATACCTAAACATAAATAAATGAATAAAAACAGGCATATCAAAAATTCATATAAATAAAATGGAATATATGCGTCCATTTATTTATGCTTTAATATTCTACGTTTTTGCTTCTAAATTTTTTGGTGAGGTTTTTGCTGCTGTATTTTTCTCTTGTTTTCGCTTTTCACAGAAATCTTACTTTAAGATGCAATAGCTTAGCAAAAAGCCGTGACAGATACAATTACCCACACATACACACACACACTCATATCCATATTTATATATGTATGAGTAAGTGTCTGTGTTTAGTGGTGTAGCAAATACGCTGTCCGCTTTCATTTGCCAGCTGAGATGCGCTACAGCTGAAATTATGTATATATTAGGGTGGGCCAAAAAACCAAAAAAAAACTTGAATTATTTTTATGCCCTAAAAAGGGTATATTAAGTTTGCCAAGAAGTGTGTAACACTCAAAAGGAAACGTCGGAGACCCTATAAAGTATGGTAAATGATCAGAATGTCTTGCTGAGTGGATTTACCCATCTGTTTGTCTGTCTGTATATACGCGACATGTGCCTCAGTTTTTGAGATATCGTCCTTTTCTTTCCAAGAAGCTGCTCCTTTGGCGAAATATTGGATCACTATAACATATAACTGCCATACAAACTGAATGGTCGGAAGCAAGTGCTTCTATGGATAACTTGTTCATTTGACGAGATATCTTCTGTAAATTTGTCGTGAATTATTTTCCAAAAACTACGGTGTAATCTCCGAAAAAATTGTTTAGATTGGATCGGCATAACATAAAGCTGCCATACATTCTGACCGGTCAAAATCGAGTGCCTTAAGGCAGCTTTTGCATTTGTAAAGGGTATTATAGCATCGGTGCAACCGAAGTTAACGTTTTTTCTTGTTATCTAAGTTTTCTTAAAAAAATTAAAAATAAAAAAATTACAAAAAATAAAAGATACTGCTAATATTTGAGCTCTTCGTATTATTTATATTAACAGGTGACGCATTGTGATTTTTAATTTGCATTTAGCACGATTGTAAAAAAGCGTTAAAAATACATTTTACAAAAACATAGTTGAAAGTGTTAAAAATATTAAAAATTTTATTATTTTATATTACTAATTTTATATTACCAGCATTAGTTTCGTCATTTCGGACGAATTTTTCTTTGCCCACCCTAATATATACATATATAAACAGTGCAACTAATACTTAGATTTAAGCCAAATCGTCAAGGCTCGCTGTGTTTTCTTGGAGTTTTCCGCTTATTTCATTTTTCATTTTTCCACCCAAATGGCACGCCACTTCAGTACACATCTGTCCAGGGATATTTGGAGGCAAACGCATGTTGTTGCAGATGTAGTGTTGCTGTTGAGATTTCATGTTAAATAGACAAACAATTTGCGACAACAAATGGTGGGTGAATAGGGAGAAAGAGCGTAAAGAAATACCAAACTAGTAATATTACAAAGAATTTGTAAAATAATAGATGGTGTAAAAAAAACAGTTCTAGTTACCACAAAATGTTGACAAGTGACAGCCATAACAAAAAAAAAAAACCAAACGAAAAATGCTACAAAACACATGAGGATTTGTGTAAATGCATATGCTGCCTACTTGTCAGCGAATGTCCTTGGCGTGCTGCTTAGTAAGAGAGAGGGAGAGTGGGAGAGAATTGCGCTTCTTACTCAAATTTATTACATTTATACATACATATATTATATACCATATAAACATAAACATTTTCCAACATTTCATTTGAGCTCACGACCGATTGCACAGCAACCGGCAAAAAGCACTTACAATCACACACACACACAAACTCACACATTACCACACAAGCGCTCAGCATCGCTCTTGCACACTGCCATCAACACCTAAGCTTTCGGTAATTTATGCTGTGCAATTTCATTTTATTGATGCTACACTTGATGCAGCTTAAATCAACAATT